CCTCAAATGATGCCGTAGGCAAGCCCTTGGTCATTGATATCGACAAATTGTTGGGAAGTAGAGACGTGCAAAACATGAATATAACCAAGGGCCACCTGTTCCTGAACAAAATGAATATCCAACTCAATATGCTTGGTCCGTCGATGATGCACCGGGTTAGCGGAGAGATAGACCGCTGAGTCATTGTCGCAGTAGACCACCATGGCACGGTTAACAGGGCAAGAGAGCTCCTGAAGCAGCTGGCGAAGCCACGAACACTCGGCGATGGCGTTGGCCACCGCACGATACTCAGCCTCAGCACTAGAGCGAGAGACCGTAGGCTGCCGCTTGGACGACCACAAGATAAGTGAGCGTCCAAGGTAGACACAATAGCCCGAAGTGGAGCAACGAGTGTCAGGGCAGCCCGCCCAGTCTGCATTGGAGTAGGCGGTGAGGGCGGTGTCGGTGGAGGCGTGAAGCATGACGCCAAGATCGATAGTGCCACAGATATAGCGGAGAATTCGCTTGATGACAGCCCAGTGAACGTCTTGAGGAGCATGCATATGAAGACACACCTGCTGCACGGTATGCTGGATCTCCGGTCGAGTCAGAGTGAGGTACTGGAGAGCACCAACGATAGACCGACAGAAAGTAGCATCCGAAGGAGGAGAACCATCTGTGGCAGAAAGCTTGGCCTTCATATCAACAGGCGTAGCGGCGGGTTTGCAGTTAAGCATGCCGGCACGCTCCAGGAGCTCGTGAGCGTACTTCCACTGATGAAGGAAGAAGCCATCTGGACGGCGCACCACCTCGACACCGAGGAAGTAGTGCAAAGGACCCAAGTCCTGGATGGCGAACTCAGCGCAAAGACGAGCCGTGAGCTGACTGAGGAGACCAGCCGTACATGCCGTCAGGATGATGTCATTGACATAGAGCAGCAAGTAGGCCGTGTCAGAGCCCTGATGATAGACGAAGAGTGAGGCGTCCGAGCGGATAGAGTGGAACCCAAGCTGATGGAGAAACGCCGCGATGCGCTGGTACCAAGTGCGCAGAGCCTGCTTGAGTCCGTACAAGGACCGCGAAAGCAAGCACACGTGGTCTGGAAGCGCCGGGTCAACAAACCCGATGGGTTGCTGGCAGAAGACCCGCTGCTCGAGGTGACCATGGAGGAAGGCGTTGGAGACGTCCATCTGGTGCACCGGCCAAGCACGGGAGACAACAAGGTGGAGAACCATGCGTATCGTGCCAGGCTTGACGATCGGAGCGAAGGTGTCGGTGAAGTCGATGCTAGCATGCTGTCGGAAGCTACGAACGACCCAACGCGCTTTATAATGATCAAGGGTACTATCAGGACGAAGCTTGTGTTTAAAGACCCACTTCCTAGTAATCACGTTGGCGTGCCGGGGACGGGGAACAAGCTGCCACGTCCGGTTGCGCAACACGACGTCAAACTCCTCTTGTATCGCAGCCATCCAGAGCAGGTCATGAAGAACGGCTCGAACGGAGGACGGCAAAGGCGACGACTCAGAGGGGGGCGCCGCATGGACGTAGTCATCCGAGGCGTAGCGCGAGCTCGGGCGAAAAACGCCCGTACGAGCGCGGGAGACCGGACCGACCATAGGCGCCAGGGGGGCCGAGGACGCTGAGGAGGCTGGGGACGCCGGGGGCGCCGGGGGGCCACGGGCACCTAGGGGGCCACGAGGGCCGCGGGTGCCAACGTTAGGGGCGCCTGCGCCGCGACTGTAGGAGGCGCCACATGTGGGGGGCGCGCCTCAAAGCCAGGGGGCGGGCCAAGAGAGGTGCGTGAGGGTCCTAGGAGAGGCGTCGAGGAGCCCGCATCACTGGTGGCGGAAGGAACAACCGGGGGTACCTGTTGAAACGGAAACACAAGCTCATCAAAGTAAACGTGTCGGGAGGTGAACACACGGTGGGAGACGGGATCATATAGAACCTATATCCCTTGGAGTTAGAGGGGTAGCCGATGAAGATGCAAGCGATGGATCGAGGTGCAAGCTTGTGAGAAGCAGTATCAGCAGTGGTGGGATAGCAAAGGCACCCAAAAATACGCAAGTCATCATAAGACGAGGGCGTACCATAGAGAAGATGGTGAGGTGCGTAGTTCCACCATGGACGGCTGGGTCTAAGGTTAAGAAGTAGTGATGCAGTGGCGAGTGTGTCCGGCCATAAACGAGGTGGCATGTTGGCATGAAACAAGAGCGTTCGAATGCAGTCATTCCGAGTGCAAAGGACGCGTCCGGCTCGATCGTTCTGCTGTGAAGTGTACGGGCACATGAGGCGGAAAACAATGTCGTGATGTGCCAAAAAAGTGCGGAAAGCGAGGTTGTCAAACTCTTTTCCATTATCCGTCTGAAGCGCAAGGATGGGACACCCAAACTGCATGCGGGCATAGGAGTAAAAAGCCATCAACGTAGAGAGTGCATCCGACTTTCTGTGCAAAGGAAAAATCCACACATAATGAGAATAATCATCAAGAATGACCAGATAATATAAATAGGCCGAGTTACTAGGAACCGGAGAGGTCCACACATCGCTATGTGTAAGTGCATCTAGTGCCACCCCTAGTTGGTTTTGGAGTATTGACAACAAACATGGTTGAGGGACTAATGTGTTTGTGAGAATTGCAGGATAACACAGGTAGTAGTCCCTCATTGATTTGATTTACCTACCAGAGATGACCCATAAAAATATGTGAAGACATTAAAGACAATGGTGGTTCGTGAAGACATTCACAACGAAGATTATGACACGTGAAGATATTCACTTGAAGACTATGGAGTGCGAAGACATAGCTGTTTCATAGCTTTCTTTCTTCTTTATTGAGTCATAGGAACCACTGTACTGTTAAGTGGGGTCCAAGTGAACAAAGTCAGAGTGACTGAAGTGATGCTCAACCAAATCCTATGTCTTCGAGCAAAAACAATGAGAGCAAATCTTATCCAGAGCTGGATGAGTCAGCTTTGCTTGTAGCCCAAGCCAAGCTGCCACGTGTGCTTGAAATCTGACCGTTGGACACATGTCAGTTCCT